TAAGAGCACAGGAATGTATCTATACTTTAGCAGATATTTGGAAAATTGCTCACTGCTACTAATATTCGCGCCTCCCCTTAGAAAACGCTGCTTTATACAGTCAAGTCTCTAGTTCTGCGATTTATTATTGTATGTACGCAAGTAAAGTAAACCAAATTACGAACTAGAAGATACATATCAATATTTATCTGCTTCTTAATTCTCCTCTTAGCTGACTTAATTATTCTTATATTATATACATTTTATTGGCAGAGAATATATAATAAATCTTGTTATGAGCAATCGATGTATCGAAAATTATAATAAATAAAAACAACACTAAACTAACAACGCACATCTGAGTTTATCGCAAAAAAAAAATTGAACTATGAACTGGAGATAATTGTTTGGTTTATATAAAGTGGTTATGCTCATTTCATGATTATTGCGAAGAAGTGCATCATTCAAAGATGTACAGTAAATTAATCGTAAGTCATTTTATTCGATAATAAATTATTTCTTTGTTAACTATTAATTATTGATTTATATATTTCATTTATATAAGATGTTTATTAATATGAATAATCTTTATTTGCAATTTTTATAAATTAATTTTTTCTTTACAGATTTCGTTAGCCCTTATTAACTTCGTTTACATCTCAAGTAGTGATTGCTACGTGGCAAGTAATTATCCACAAGATGACATCGAGCTTAGACGTGGATATGGAGGAAGCGGTGGTAGTCAAAGAGGAGTAAAGGGTGGAAGTAGAAGAGGAAATGTTATTGAAGCAACTACAGGTGAAGGAACAAATGATAACACTGGAAATGTAGGATATTATCCGTTTAGAGCTAGACCATATCCTAGTCCGGTAGATTCAACAAGGAGTAGAACCGAAGATGATGCTGGTGGCAGCAGATACAGGGGTTACGGATCGAGAGATACCCATGATGGTAGTGCTTTTGGACAAAGGCAAGAAAGCAGTCGCACTGATGGTCAAACTCGGTATCAAGATAGACCCACTGGAAGATACGATACAAACAGGGGCAGTTCATTGAGGCAAGATTCAAACGAGTTTAGTCGCAATGATTACAGAGGAGGACAAAGTGGAAGGTCCGAGGGAAATGAAGATTTAAATAGAGGAAATTATATGTGTCATGGTATAGTTGATTCAAGTGATTCGCGATATACGAGTGGATACAGAGGATACGGTAGTGGAAGTAATCCAGAATTGACCAGTGGTAGTTTCAGGGTAGATGGTAACAGTAGAGTTGACGAGAGTCGTACGAGTGGGCAGAGATTATCAAGTGATACTGATGTTCCTGTACCTTCATCAGGAGTGAAGACGAAAACAAAAAGAATAAACTATATAGGCCAAGGAGAGCCTGGAATACACTACTAACATTATACATTTTATATTACATTCTTATAATAAAATGTATACTCGCAAACAGTAATTGTTTCCTTCAATTACGACTATTTACCATACGTCCATACTGGTTTCAGCATTACTTTGTAAATAGGTTTTCTTCTGTTATCATAATAAAATGTTTATGGACAAATGTTTTATTATTCTTTTCATAATTTTCTCTAACTATAAATACATGTATATAATATATATTTAATATAGCAAAATATTGATCATGTTCTTTACGTGAAGTACACATTGTGGAAGAAGGCACTTTCTGGAACGTCGATGGCACTTTGGAACGAAGAACAAAATGAGCGCAGACGAAGGAATGTAGAGAACATAACACAAGAGTGGTAAATCTATTTTCTAAACTAAAATCAAGTCCTGTATTGCTGAAGAAATTCAACCACAATTATAGCAAACCGTGATTGCTAATTTCGTCAAAAGAACATAATACGTTTGCTTGTTCCATACCATAATTCCGTCTACGTACTTTTCGGTTAAATTAAAAAATGTGTTTTATCTAAAAATTTAAACTTTCCACTCTTGTTGGGAGATGGACACACCATATATATCTAAAAATTCAACGAATATTTACAATAATTTAAAAATAGAAGAGATAAAATGTAGAATTATTCAAGTTTTCTTTATCATTTCGTATATGGATAACAATAACAATGTTTGTTTGTTTTGCTTTCAAATTCGTCGCGTCCGCGTTTTCATATCACATTACGTACAATTTTAAAGCTGTGTAGTTATAACAGATTTCTTAATGATCGTCGTCTCCGTGGTGTTCACTTTAGAAACCGGAGCACTGACGATATCTTGTGACACCAGCCAGGGCGAGAGATTGCTGAAACTCGGAGTCGTCACTGCGGCGTTCCAATTGCTGTCGAATTCGTTTCCCAACGAACCATCGATCTGTTACAATCAAATTAATATAATGATATAGTTGTATTTCTTCTAGCAAAGCGGATTTACCTCAGAGTCTGTTGCGATCGCGTCCATTTGAAAGGGATTGCTGTAGAGGAACGGATTTGCTTCGTGGAAAGGATTGGTGTTGGGCGTCGTGACGAATGGGTTCGAGCTCTTCGGAGGTTCGTCAACAGCTTCATCGAAATCTTCGATGCAGTTGCCGTTGAGTAAACTGAGCGGTTGCTGCTGCCCTTGCTTCTCGTTCAACATTACGCGTTCCAATTTACCACCGTCGGACTGTCCGAAGTAGGTGACCGTTACCGGCGTGATGCATCTCTTCCTCTCTTCGACGAGGTCCTGGTTGTTCGGCGGCGCGGGACCGCTCACGGACAACGTCAATTTGTCGCCGCCCTAATGTTGTTAGCAAATTGCAATTTACAGAATCAAGAGAGAAGCGTTTATATAATATACTTACGACCGATATGAAGGTGGCGGCATTGAGAGAATTCATATTCTCCTCGTCATTGTTCGCCGCAGCCACGAACATCTGATTCGTCAGCTTCGTCACGTTTACGTTCAACTCATCCTCTGCTTTCGCTACAAACAACCACGTAATTATATTACAATTTAATTGATTACCTCAAGAGCACTAACCTTTGAGTATGTTGCATTTCAATTGATTCCGAGGTATCGGTTTTGCACCGCCCATCCCGGCTGCGTATTTATTTATGTTATTAGGAATGTCGAAAGACAGCTTCAAAGCGGCGGCATCGCAATCTACGAAAAATAAAGATTAAGACTAAATGATGTAAGAAATCATGTATTTACCGTCAATTTTGTTGATTTCAGACGTTGCAACGTTTCGAGCTTCGTCCATCTGGATTCCGGTTAGCGTCTCCTTGGCGAGGCTCTTCAGCAGCACGTCCAGCTGACTGTCTGCATTCGAAAGCGTCGGACTGATGGGTGGAGAAGATGCTGCTCTGTTCCTTTTCAGCGTGCCGTTTTTGCTACCGCCCATCGATAGTACAGGACTTGAAGCAAAACTATCAGTACAAATTATACTTTTCTTCCAACAACTTACCTATGGGAATTAACCGTAGGCGTGAGAGTCTTCGTGTTGTCGTTGGAGACTTTGCAATAGTAAGGCTCGCTTTCGGTGGCATTCGATTTCGTTGAACGTTCGCTGCAACGACTCGACGAAGGCTGTATGCAATCCGCAAGTTCCGTGATTTGCACCGTTCCGGAATTCTGCTGTTCCCGTAACCTCTCCCGAAGCACGTGGCTCTGCCTCCTGCTGTACCTGATCAAATGATATAACAAACTTTTGGTGTGCAATCTAAATTGTAATTGTAATGAATGTACCTTTGGCTCGGTCTTCTTTCGAGCTGCACCACTCGCCGTGGACGACTTTGATGCGTACTCTGATACTCGGTTCGACCGGAATAGCGGAAACGAGAACCCATCCGGAAAAAGTTCTGGCGAGCCGTTGGACCTTTGACAGGCGCTTGAAGTCTGAAGAAACCGTGATGCTCCACGGCGCATTTCCACAAATGCTTGCAGGCCTTCTCATTGTGCAACCTGCATCATGGATACATTATAAACAAATACATATTGTTCAGCCGTTTGGCTGTAATTCGCTTTCAAAGTTTAAAAAATGCACGAAAAAGGAGTGTTTTTACATTTCATTGATTTACTCGATAACTATAATACATAGAAAGAATCCAAAAGATGGATATGAAAGCTGAATGTTTGGGGAATCTAGCAAGTATCGATATATTACTGTGGTTTTATATGGCTGTAATC